AGATAGATAGATAGATAGATAGATAGATAGATAGATAGATAGATAGAGCTGCTTATGACGTGTTTTTTCTTTAGGCGCATGTTTCCGGTTCTGAAAGTCAACGTGTCTGGTTTGGACCCCAACGCGATGTATTCTTTCTTGCTGGACTTCGCATCAGCGGACAACCACAGGTGGAAGTATGTGAATGGGGAATGGGTTCCCGGAGGCAAACCCGAGCCTCAGACTCCCAGCTGCGTGTACATCCATCCAGACTCTCCAAACTTCGGGGCGCACTGGATGAAAGCGCCAGTCTCCTTCAGCAAAGTCAAACTCACAAACAAACTCAACGGCGGCGGTCAGGTAAGAGGGCAGGTATTCCCGTGCTCCTTGCCTTCAGTTCAAACCGTCAAATGGAATAACCACCGTTCTATTTTGAAGATCATGTTGAACTCCTTGCATAAGTACGAGCCACGCATCCACATCGTGCGGGTCGGAGGTCCTCGGAGGATGATCACCAGCCACTCATTTCCGGAAACGCAGTTCATCGCGGTGACAGCATACCAGAACGAAGAGGTTACTTCAGTTTTGTTTGATTTAACAACAAATGTCGCGCCTGAAGGCACGTAAAATACGTGCCATTTTACGCACCGTCTTTACGCACTGTTTGTTTGATGCTCTGCGATCCCAACCCTTTGTGCTTTGGGATCATTTGATTTCAGATAACTGCTCTGAAAATTAAGTATAACCCGTTTGCCAAGGCCTTCCTCGATGCAAAGGAGAGGTAAGACCACATGCAGCTGAAGCAGGTGTGAGAACAGAATGCCCAGGGGAAATAAAACCGCCTTTATCTCTGCAGAAGTGACGGCAAAGACATGAGGGACGATGCTAATGAAAACCACCAGTCTGGTTATTCCCAATGTAAGTTTGTACTGTTCTGATTTTGTACAGATTCCTGTTAAACATGTCAAATGTATAGTTCCCTAATAATGTGTCCTCTCCCCTGTGGGGTCCAGTGGGCAGCTGGTTCGTGCCAGGCCCAGGCGCCCTCTGCCCCCCTGCCAGCCCTCATGGGCAGTTTGGGAGTTCCCTCTCCCTCTCACCGTCCCATAGCTGTGAGCGCTACTCCACCCTCCGGAGCCACCGTTCTGCTCCTTACACCAGCTCTTACGCTCATCGGACCAGCTCTCCCAGTGAGTGGCCGCCTTCCCCCCTTTTACCCTCATGCAGCCATGAATCGCTGCTCTTCCTCCCCCCAACTATTAACAAGAAAGCCAAACAAATGTTGCTGAGTGGAGAATGTTGTGCATTCCTCTGGCTTTTGTGTGAGCGGAGCCCACAGAGCAGTAAATGGTTAGCCTCCGCTCGAGGAATCCCCAACACCTACCCGAACAGTCATGCTCATATCAGCGTGTCATGTGCTCTGATACAGGTTGCATGAAAATTTGATACGGATTTGATTTCTGAAACCACTAAATCTCAGTGTCTGTGTTGCAGCCGGTTACTCTGATAATTCGTCAACCTGTCTGTCAATGCTCACCAGCCACGACAACTGGTCCGGTCTTCAGATGCCAGCACACTCCAGCATGGTGCCCATGCCCCACAACTCTGCCTCTGGTGCAAATTCTAGGTTAGTATTGCTTATTTCTGTATTTTCTTAAGGCCCTCATCATTAGATAGAAGCAAGACTAAATTAATCATATCTCTTTTTTGCTTGATTTTAATATCAAAGAAAGGAAATCGCACTAATATTACCATCAAATGACATCAAAAGCTTGAAATTAGCGTCAAGTTAATGATGTTTGTGAGACGAAAACAATTCTACCAAACAAAACATTTTTTCAAATTCTAATTTACTGCTCATTTCATGGATGTCTTCTCTTTGACTTACAGAATTTTGGTCAAACTTTTTGGTTAAAATTTCAGTCTGTATAAAAGACTTTCATCAGAAAGTCAGAAATTATTCAAATTAACTTTATTTCTGAGGCTTAACTGACTCATTTTGCAGTGTCGTAGTTTGCAAGTAGTTTCGTAAAATTCAAAACCTTAATCCATATTAAATTGGACATCACTCTGAAACTCTTCCTACTCCAGCACAACGATCAACAGGTATCATAAAAAAGAACATCTGAGTGTTTCTTTGAAGAGAATTAAGGAAATCTTCTGTCTTCCCCTGTGCAGTCAGTACTCCGGCCTGTGGTCAGTGAGTAACTCCCCCCTGACCCCCGTGCCCCAGAACGGGGGGATAAACAGCTGCCTCGGCTCCCAGTTCCTCAGAGGCTCCAGCAGCCACTACCCAGGTCTGTCCCACTCGGTCACAGCGCCCCCCTCTGGCTCTCCCATGTACGACAGCAGCCCCGCCATCGACGTGCACGACGCCGTTCAGTATGATGCCCCCCCCCACGGCCGCCTGCCTTCAGCCTGGACCCCAGTGACACCTCCCTCCCTTTGATGGAAATCTCTCTGCAACCTGAGAGACGTTTGATGTCCGATTTGACTTTTAAAAGGGAGTTAAGCGCCAAATGAACCCAAATAAAAGACTGAATTCAGTCATCAGCCTCACATTCCAACTCTGCTCCACTTTTAAGTTGGTCAGGATGGGCAGAAGAACCATACGAAAACGCTTACCACAAAAAAAAGGCCTGTTTGTGATCTGCTTATATTAAGCATAACTAAAACTATCAAGTAAATCAGTAAACATGTGTATAATGTAAATGACATAGTTTAAAGTTTTACGGTCTGTAAATAAATGAAGCTTTTTCTACCACAACGCTGCTGTTTGAGGGTTATGTCTGAAAATGAAATTAAACACACTACCAGGTTTCTCAGTATCCTGTTTTACAGCAACAAACAAACCTTTCTTTCATTAAAAAACAATAAACACCTCACTTGTTGCACTTGTATGTTCTATACTCCTAAACCTGTAAAAACCTATTTACAGTAGGTAATCATGTACCTACTGTGCATTTTCTATTTTCGCTTTGAACAATGGAGTATTAGAATAGTTTGAAACTTCAAACCTGAAAAAACGAAAATGTTGCCAATAAGTTTATCTGAGAGGTTATTCTCTGCTCTGCTCATGGTTCAAAACTATGCATACATTTTTAATAGTTCAATAGAATGCATGCAGTGAACTAGACTTTCAACTAAATCGTCCATGACTTATGTTCCTAAGTTTGTTATTGATCATGAAATAGAATTAGCAACAACATATTTAGTTTTTTTCTTTTTCCTGATACACGCTCATATTGTATGAGCAGGTCTAACCTCCATCAGTTCCTGGTCAAAGGAAATTACGAGACTAACTGAATTCAAAGTTGTGAGCTTTCATTTGAAACTACACTGAACAGTGATATAGTCATTTGACTTAAACAGAGTGAGCAGATGTGCTGGCAACAGTTTGGTAACCCATCCAACTGGTGTCCATCCCTGCAGTTCATTGTTTTCCTCACTTCCTGATGACAGTCAGGACTCCTCCAATAAGGCTTCTGAAACTGCCTCTGCTGCAGCCTGGAATGATTACTTCTAACTAAAGTAAGAGATGAATGCCGGGGTCGTCACTGGCGAGGCTTGATGCAGAGGATAATCTACTCTGTAATGCCACTCATCACGGACCTTATGTGGCCTTAAGTGACTCTGCAAACATTTCTGTTAATCCATCTGTGTCTACGTGGAAATAATCTACCAGCATAAGCTTCTAGGGAGGTGAAGCAGCATATAAAGTAGTTTCAGTTAATCCTGCACCAAATCTTTGGTCTGATATCAGGGCCGTACATTTCCTCCAAACTCAGCTTCACTAATGGCCAAATAGCTCCCTTCTGCCATGAATGCCCCTTGAATCACAGCCCTTATATGTATGTCACGCTCATAACTTATTTTTTGTGTGTATTGCAAGGCAGCGTTAAGTGATTGGTAGTTTTGAAGTCAAAATAAGTTCAAAATAAGTTTTTTTTACTTTACTCACCCACCTCTCAACTTGTTCCTGATTCAGATCCAGATACTTGACTGCAATCAGAATGTTTTTTTCTTTGCCAGCCCCATCATTCTGCAGTATTCCTCTAACAGGTCCCCCCCCCCCCTTTTTCTCCTCACTGTGCTTCACTGGCTCTAGCTCCTTGCCAACTAATCCCTCATGGACTATTCCAAAATATCTAGCATACTGCATATTTGGTTGGCAAGCCACACTAACCTCATATTTTATGTGTTCAGTGAATCAGTTTTTGTCAAGTGACTGTTTGCTCTCAGCAAATTGCACCAAACCTCTCAGACGTGAGAACAAGGTTTGTGCAGGTCTGTGTTTTCCATTACAGCTAACGTCATGGATCTCCATTGGGATTAAGTGATAGCAAATATCCTGTTTTATTTATTTTACTGTTTAGTGTATTGCTGAATAACCACAGGCTGGTCAGACTATGGTGAACAGAAATGTTGAAGGTGTCATCTTAAGATATGTTTATATTTCTATTCACTGAAAAAGAAAACAAGCTTCAGAGTAATACCAAAGCTTATTTAGGGCCATGAAAATATTTTATTGAATGGATGAAACCTTGAAACGTATAATCATAAAGACTTCAGATAACTGAGTAAAATATTTAGAACAGCTGAAGTGGAACTTTAAAATACCTTGGCGAACACTGTTGATAAGCATTAAATTCCTGTAGTAAAAAAGATCGTCATGATTTTTGGGCAGGTTTTTACCTGTGATAGTTAGTTTTTTTTTTAAAGATATTTATAGCAGAAATAAAGGTCACAGCTCTTTGAAAATGCTATGATTGAAAACTTCTGTCAGTTTATTTTCTGGTCTTACTTATATGATTTCAATTCGAGCAGTCTCCCTTTTCAATAGATTATTTCTGAAAAATTCCGCTGCCATATTTTGATGTGTTATGTTGTGAGATGTGATTTCTCCTAGCAAACCTCTCTGTTGACCAGTTTTTTCCTCATAAAATCTTTAATGAATAAAGGAAGGGCAGCATGAGGAGAATACCCGGCAAAGGCATTTTGTGTGAACGTTGACAAAAAACTGGCACAAAGTGAGGCGCAACTCAGAGACATGAGGATGTGTGAAAAGGAGCATTATGAATTTAAAAAAGAGAATCCAGGAGAGAGGCACAAGAAAGAGCCCATTCAGCTCCAGGGATCAGGGTCAGTGTGGAAGGACATCATGACAATCCCCCTTCCTTCCTTCATGCAGCAGCAGCCACAGTCCAGCAGCATGGAGCTGACATCCAATCTGCAGAATGAAATACACAAGTCCCTGGTTCACCTAAACAATAATCCATCTCAGCTGAAATGCCCAGTCCAGGTAATACTGATAATACACCAATATTAATTGTAAGCTGTGACTCTGTTGATCTATATGCAGATTTGAGGTCCATAATGACCAGGATGTCTCTACATCCGTGCCCCTATTTAGAAAAAGGTATTCGAACCTGCTCTTTGGAGATGAATGCTCATTGGTATTAAAGACTCAGAAAGCCAAAGGAAACGTCTTCATCATCATCATTAGATTAAGGAAGTGACTTGGTCTTTTGCTGTAAAAGCCAATTATGTGTCTCGTGTCTCTCTCTTATAATAAGGAATAATATGCAAAGCAAGAAATGAAAATGGGGCATTTTTGAAAAAAATGTCCAGAAAAGGCAGGAAGGCAGGGTATTTCTCTAAGCCTAACAATCCTATTATGATCCCAATGAAAAAAAGCTCTCTGTCAAAGCAGGGAGCATTGACGCAAGCATGTCTTGACGTCAGCAACTGCAGAGAATGAGGGCCGGGGGTGGGGGGTGGGGGGGGGGGGGGGGGGGGTGCACGAAAGGCGTGTTTACCTTCAGAAAATACCACGATATACCAGCGTCAAATGGACGAGTGCGACTGCAGCTCGCTGCAAGGAATCTTTTATCTGTGAAGCACTCGCTCCTAACCCTCGTTTTTTGGGGGCGAAACAGTATCGGTGCTGCACTGGAAATCCAAACCAGATGTAGTAAACGGAATATGATCCCCTGACCCATGTGTGTTCATAAATAAATCAGTATATGGGAGAAATGGGACAATTCGGGGGGCTGTGCTCAGCTGCATGGGGTCAGGCACCCATTATTGCATCCCATGACGCAAACACGAACAGGACCAAATTGAAGTCAGAGATAATCTGAGACGATCTGCGACATTCTACTGGAGGTGTCTTGAAAAATCTAGGAGCGCGGTTTCTCGGTGTTGTAAAAGAATTCTCCGGCATCCAGAACTAGGTCGGACGGAGAGGAAAAGTACCATTAAGCAGTTTGTAAGAGCCAGACAAGTGGCGTCATCAAATCCTTTGTAGTGCGGGCAATGCCAAGACTCCCCTCCAGCAATTATTCACATCTGATTCTCAAGTTACTTTGAGGCACTCTCAAGTGAAAACAAACCACCTCATCTAATACTGTTCTCCATAAAACAATGTGTTTTTGCTCTATTTATGTCAAAGGCAAACATTTGGATTGGGATGGCTGACACATCTCACACAGGGGGTTTTCCTCAACACAAACTGATGTATGATGTAAACAACAGGTTCCACTTCAGTTGAGCTCGTGTGCCGATTTTACTCTGAAGAGGAATCTTCTTTTTTATAAATGCAGATCAGAAATTATTTTCCCCCATACTCGGAGCTCAAGGGTTGCAAGAGAGACATACTTTAGCGAACAGTCTACACGTCTCGATTATCTCCATCTGAAGATACCCAAGAGTTCCCGTTGTGTCTGCTGTGCGTCATCCATCCCTGATTAGACTTCAAGTCTGACGTCGCTGAACAGCATTCAAGCGAACCACCTCATAGAATGTTGGACGTCGTACTTTCTCAAACGCATCCGGAGTGACGGAAATCACTTTTTTTTAAATAGACGTGGATCAACAAGTTGCCTTCTGTGCGTAATTTCCATCTGAGCGGAGTTAAAGCATAATCCGCCACACACGTGATCGTCAAATCACTTCAGCTGCAAGTATTTCCTCATCTGTCAAGAGGGCAAAAAGCCTCGGACCGTGCGGAAGAACCAACTTGTCCGATTACGACGGGAATCAAGAGCTGACCGGCTCCATGCCTCGGTGCATCCACGGATCCTCGGGTGGCCACCACATGGTAACTTTGCGCGCAGAGCAACCTGGAAGGGGCGCCTCATAGAGACTGGATCTGAATGAATGGGGCTGAGATTTATTCGCATTTCTCTTCTCGCCTCCCCCAGACTGTTGAATGTGTTTTATACCCCGCCGGTTGAAGGTGTCCCCCATTATCAGCAGATATCGACTAAGTGGTGGACAGATCGATCACCCGAACAGGGATCAGCAAATGTCGAAGAAACGGAAAAGTCCTGACGACCCGGGCTTAGGTGAATCTCCGCCTGCACGAAGCAGCGAGCCAGGTAGGAGTCACGGTCTGAAAGGACTCTCTGAAAGTGGAGGTCCTTGCAAATTTCGGCTAACAATTTT